CCCCCCATCGCTCTTTAGTGCAGTTTTCAAAGTGAGGGAAACGTCTCGAAAATGGGAGTTTAATGTGGTTTTAGGAAAACAACAGTCTCTCCGCTAGTCAATATGGCTTTCGTAAGGGTCGTTCTACCATAGACCCCTTACTACGCTTGGATACGTATGTTCGTAATGCCTTTGCGAATAATCACTCAGTTATTGCCATATTTTTTGACCTTGAGAAGGCATATGACACAACTTGGAGGTATAATATTTTGGCCCAGGCCCATTCCTTAGGCCTCCGAGGCAATCTACCATCCTTCCTTAAGACTTTTTAACTGACAGACATTTCCGTGTTCGAGTCAATAATGTTCTTTCCCCGGACTTCGTCCAAGCTGAAGGTGTCCCTCAGGGATGTGTTTCTGAGCACAACACTTTTTCTCCTTGCTATAAATGATTTGGCCTCTGTTCTTCCACCAGTACAGTGGACCCCCGCATAGCGAACGCCTTGCATAGCGAACAATCCGCATAGCGAACGCTTTGTTCGCCAAAATTTTGCCCCGCATAGTGGACAAAAACCCGCTCAGCGACCTTCGTCCGAGACGCGTCCATTGTTTACCAGCCAGCCTCCGCGGTAACATTCAGCATACACTCGGAATATTTCGTATTATTACAGTGTTTTCGGTGCTGTTTCTGGAAAATAAGTGACCATGGGCCCCAAGAAAGCTTCTAGTGCCAACCCTGTGGTAAAAAGGGTGAGAATTAGTATGGAAATTAAGAAAGATTTTGAAGGGTTTGGGGCTAACCTGAGAAGCCTATGCCAGTTGTGGAAATCCATTGTGCCTACTTCAAAAATTAAGGAAATGTGTGCACAGTGGGTTGAACTGCAAACCTTTATGGATGAAAATCACCCTGACACAGCTGTTGCAAGCCGTGCTGGTGAACTATTTCAATGACAATGTTATGGCCCATTTTAGGAAAGTCTTGAAGGAACGGGAGGTACAGAGCTCTATGGACAGATTTGTTGTGCGACAGAGGTCCAGTGACTCTCAAGCTGGTCCTAGTGGCATTAAAAGAAGAAGGGAAGTAACCCCAGAAAAGGACTTGCTACCTCAAGTCCTAATGGAAGGGGATTCCCCTTCTAAACAGTAAGAAGATAATGCTCTCCCCTCCTCCCATCCCATCAATCATCACCAGATCTTCAATAAAAGTAAGTGTCATGTAATTGTGCATGCCTTTTTCAGTTTGTGTGTACTAAAATTAACATTTTTTTGTGGTAAAAAAAATTTTTTTTCATACTTTTGGGTGTCTTGCACGGATTAATTTTATTTCCATTATTTCTTATGGGGAAAATTAATTCGCATAGCGAACATTTCGCATAACGACCAGCCCTCTTGCACGGATTAAGTTCGCTATGCGGGGGTCCACTGTATTTGGTCATCACTCTATGTTGATGACTTCGCTATTGCTTGTGCAGGCGCTGACTGTCATCTTATTGCAGTTTCTCTCCAGCATGCGGTCGACCGTGTTTCCACTTGGGCCACCACGCATGGGTTTAAATTTTCAAGTACCAAAACTCACCAAATTACTTTCACTAGACGCTCTGTTATCTCCGATCATCCTTTGTATCTCTATGGCTCCCGTATCCCCGAACGTGATACAGTCAGGTTTCTAGGCCTTCTCTTTGACCGTCGGTTATCCTGGAAACCTCACATTACCTCTCTGAAGGCAACTTGTCACAGCCGGCTAAACCTTCTTAAAACCCTTGCTCATCTTTCCTGGGGAGCTGATCATCGAACTCTGCTTCGCCTACATTCAGCCCTCGTTTTATCGAAACTCGATTATGGTGACCAGATTTATTCCGCGGCCTCTCCTGCTACTCTCTCTAGCCTTAACTCTATCCATCACCAAGGATTACATTTGTGCCTTGGTGCTTTTGCTCTTCCCTTTTGGACCCTCTATACAGAACGAATTTCCATCCTTGTCTGATCGCCGTGATGCCCTTTGCCTCGCTACTATGTACGCTCTCACGATCACCAACCCTTTCCATTTATAGAATGGTCACCGATATTATAGACATTCTTTTTTCTTTTCCCCGCCCCTGTTTGCTCGCCCCTTTTCTTTCCCTACATTCATTTTGTTTTCCCTTAAATTTACCCCCTTTATTTGTTCTGTGCATCTCATTTTTCCCCCCCCCCGGGGAAGCCCAGTGTTCGGGTCTGTTCTTTCTCCCCCCTTGCCGAAAGCTCAATGCTATTGGTTCCCGCTTCTTTTTCTGATACTTCCATCCATTCCATGCCCCCCTGTGTCACAGATGGCTCTAAGTCTTCAGACGGCGTGGGATTCGCAGCAGTGTTTCTGGACAGCGTCGTGGGGGGGGATTTACTATCTTAGCTAGCATTTTTACTGTGAATTTCCATTCTTGCAGCACTTTTTGGAGCTTTTTTGCCTGTTCATCATTTTTAGTGTCTCAGACTCCCTTAGTGCTCACAGGCTATACGAAAATTTGTAATCTCATCCCCTAGTTTCCGTTCCAATTTGGGCTAGCCGATCTTACCAAACAAAGATATTGTTTTTTGTTGGGCCCCGGTCTTGTCGACGTACAGGGCAATAAAAGGCAGACACTGCTGCCGGTCGCAGAAAATACCTACAAATTTCCTATCGAGGGTTCCTTTCGGCTTTTTTGCTGCAATAGCTACCCACCTTGCCCCCTTTTGGGCCAACTTTGGGTCAACTTGCTGGGGAACAAATTATTCTATTAAACCCGAGAATGGTTACGGCCGTCTTCTTGCACGTGCCGGGTTGGGGCCACTCTCCCCGCCTTCGCATTGGCCCCCTCGTCTTATCAGGGGTTCCCTTTGGAGAGGCCCCTGTTCCCTCTCGTGGCGTGTAAGTTCCAGTACGTTTTAGTCACATTCGTTAGACTCCCCTCCTTTAACGAGCAGCAGAATTTCCCTCCAACGTTGTCTTCGTTCTAACTTCTCTTTACCTTTTTTTTGTGAGGGGCCCCCTTTAATCCTGACTTCTCATTGACTTCTTGACAAGACTGTTTTTACTCCCAAACTCTGATGAACTTTTCGCACCCCCCTAGCCCTTTCTAGTTCGTCTCTTGTCCCCTTTACCCTTTCACCATCCACTGCCCCGCGGTTTCCACCTATTCTCTCCTTCTCCCTTTTTGCCCCCTGATTTTTTTTTGTTTTTGGGGGTTTAAAGCCTTTTTAGGTTCTTTTTAATAATAATAAAATTAAAAATTTGCCAGGTTTTTTTTATTCCACAAAATGATTTCATTGTCTTTTTTTCTTTTTAAGATCTTTAAAAAGCCCTGGAAAAACCCTATAAAAAAATTTAAATTTAAAATTGAAAATTAGCTTAAGGTGTTTTGTAGGGAAAAGGCGAAAATTCCCACTTGATTTGGAACCTTGCACATGGTGTGATAAAAAAGTCCCCCAAAGCCCAAATTAATAATATGATGAAAAATTAAAAATCCCTGTCGCTGGTAACTTTTTCCCCTAATTCTTAATAAAATGGGGTATAGGTATGTGGTAGACCTGGGTAGAAAAAGACAAGTGAAAAATTGGAACGAAAACACTTGGGCATTTTAAAGGGTTCAGTCACCAGTCGAGTGCAAGTTTCCCTTTTTTCTGACGTTAGTCTATGACTATCAAATGCTGGACAGCCTCAATCATCCCCCCCCCACCAACTATAATTCGCCCCCCCCCCTCCATCGTCAATGGTGGTGAATCAAGCTTGGTTTTCCTACCACACTGACTGGTGCACAAGCCTTCCTCCCTTCACGTCCTATTTTGGTGTTAAACCCTGCCCTTTTTTCCCTCACGGTGATCACCACACCTGCTTCCCCCATCATTGGTGGTGCATAAAGACCTTTCCCTTTACCTTTAAAGATGGTCCACCAACTGTTCTCTGTCACGCCATGGTGGGAAAAGTATACCCTGGCATCCCATAAGGGAAAAGCAACTTGTAATCAGTTCAGGCAAAACGTTTTTATAGGAAAATAAAAGTGAAAACTATAAATAGAAGTAATTTTTTACTTTTACAAGCAAAGCAGTCAGCATTTACCATGATTACAAGTACAAGGTATTTTGTTAAAATGACCTGTCAACCATGATATAAGAAACAAAAGCCCCCATGTCTATCATGATTACAAGTAGTTAGTTAAAAGGTCAAGTGTTTTTTCCAGACAAGAAAAATTAAAACGTCCCTTGTTTTTAGTAAAATTTAAATATTGCATTTGAAAACTTTTTGTTTTCTTAATTATAAGACATAGCCCCTTTTTAACCCTTGCAATGTCTTGGGATACAGTTCGTGTTAATAAAATTTGGGTTTTAACAGGTTAAAAAAGATAAGCAGGAAAAATGGGTAATCTTAGTGGCTTTTTTTTTCCAATAAAGAGCAAAGCTGCAAAATGTTTTT